GGTATGGGGGTGTTGGTGGGGTTATTAGGGGTTCTGGACCCTTTTTTTGTTCTGTTGCAGGGTGCCGACTACCCTTGACCGGTAGGTGCCGACCGGTCAAGGGCCGCCGACCATCAGGGTATGCAACACTGGTTCAAGGTAACAGAGTTATTCTCAATATCACTACTTTATCCTAAGGCCTCTAAGGCCACTGCGTGAACAAAAAAGGCCATATTTCTATTGTTTCGCGCAAACCGACTGCAGTTCACTTTTGGCAAGAAGTGTTCTTAACCTCTGATCTTTCTCTGGCAACTGCTTGACATCCTCGTGACCATCCTCTTCTCCTCCTCTTCCTCGCTAAAAACTTGCAGTCTCCCATCCACTTCTCCTCCTCCTCCACTGAGTGTATAACACCTTTGCTATCTTCTTCTTGTTCTTCTTTTTTTAACTTCGCTTGCTTCTTCTTTTGTTCTAAACCCTTGAGCTTTTGGTATCGTTCTCCTCCTCCTCCTCCTCTACTGACTCAATACTGAGTCTATAACACCTTCATCTTCTTCGTCTTTTGTTTCTAGATGCTTGAACTTTTGATCTTGTTACTTTTTCTGTTGGCTATGCGGTTGGAGAGATGTGGCAAGTAGCTCCACCCCTGATGAGTGCACAACTGATGAGGTAGCAGCTAAAAAATGCACAAGATCTTGCTGCTCTGGCGTTATTGTTCCTGTGCCGTGATGCAAAGCGTGCAGAACGTTCTGTTCAGGACACCTGTTCTTGACCTGACCCTACACCAGTAGTTATAGATGCATACAACTGGGCCCAAGGCCCTCCGCAATGCAAGCACGGATTCGAACTGGCGCCCTCGGCCTCAAGAGCCAAGTCTCTTAACCACTACAGCCAGGACGTCGTGTTCAAAAGTGGAACCATACCGGTCGTGATATCCACCCTTCCCCTGCAAGGCTGTCGTGTCCACGCACCACACACAACACCACACGGATGCAGTGCACAGATGTGGCAATTCTCTCACATGACCCCCACTGGTACCTAGCCCACTCACACACACACACACACAGGTCCTGGCATATGGCTGGTTCCTGCTGCTCCCGACACGGCACGGTTGAACCAGACCTGAACGTCCTCGGTCTTGACGCTTGTCGACCGTTTCTAAGGTGAGGGACATTACAGGCTTGTCACTTAGCTTTTAGACGTGTGCTGTACCTGCCTTCGTTGCTCATTTAATTGGCAAACGCTGATACTAACGAGTACGGTCGTTAGTGCAAAAAAAAAAAAAAAAAAAAAAAAAAAAAAAAACTCGTACAATCACTAGTGAAAAGAAAAAGGCCCTAGTACAATCGCTAGACTGCCTACATTCCACTAATTAGTAGCTAATTGGGTGTAAAGTATCTGTGTTGAACCAAGAGATATAGATCTATGCCCAATACTGTCCTAGGACTCCTCACTAACTCCCAATCTTTTCACAGCTACAAACTATTGATTGATTTGACTAAACAGATGCTAACCAGGGTTAAGATTCTTAATTAGGGCATACTCACACTAGGCCCTCAAAACCGCAAAATCCCAAAATGAGTGTCCAAATCTAGTCCTTCCTTTACAAGGACTCGATCTGGCCGCTCATTTTGCAATTTTGTGAGTTTGAGGGCCTACTGTGACTATGCTCTTAGTGTCTATGCAAGTGACTAGTTAAGATTACTATTCTGTGCACGCACGATTAACTATTTTATAGTACACTAACGGTTCTAATCACTCTAATCGATCTGCTGCTAACAGGGTTAAGAAACTTAAGATCTTTCTTTGAGTTAGCAAGCCACTTAGCCACTACAAAAAAAAAACTGAAAAACTTCATAAAGAACTTTTGTATCATAGCTGCTGCTCACTGGAGCCTAATGAAGAAAGCGGCAATAAACAATCAGAGCAAGTTGGTCAGTCAGCGAAGAGACACGCGCCGGCTCATGCGTGGCGGAGGCGGGGAGGGGGGGGGGGCGGCGAGGTCTAAATTTTGCAAACCCGTGCATGTTGGGCAGCCAACAAAGAGCCCCATGCGACTGCTTACGCCTAACAGTGGAAAAAGAACAGAAAAAGGTCAAATGCAGCCTTACGGGTTTCCGACAGAGAGAAGAAAACAGAAGCAGCCCTCACCTAAAAAAAAAAGAAACGGCTCGACTCCGATCCTGGGGCCTGATGCTCGGCACCAAATCGGTTCCTCGGTTTTCGTGGGACAAAGTGATACATGAAACCAACTATCGTCTTTACGAAGATGGAGGTATCTCCAAATTTTCTTATTAGTATTGTGGGCTACTTTTCCAGCTTGGGCTTCGTCTCTCCTACCTTTGTCCTTTCTTTTTTCTTTTTTTTTCTTTCAGCGATCCTTCTAGTTTGTTATCTCCGATATCTGTCTTTCGACTCTTTTCATGAATCGTTTGCAATCTTGTCTGCTGCTGATAACTCTTGTTAGCTCACTGGGCTCTTTTCATTACTTCCCATATGGCTAGGATCTTGACCATGTGCATGGCTATTACTGCTGGATGTTCCTTCTTGCAGGCGGAAGGATTGACGAAACGAGACTTCTTTTATGATGCAGACCCTTTTATGGTGATCTCAAGAATGTCAGAAGACAATGTCTATACACCTGTCTTCAAAGTACGTAAGTGGTTAATGGGAAAAAAAAAGAAGTTGCGCCTTGACTACCCCCTATTTTGATCCGATCTGCTCGTGTTTGAGGCTATTAATGAGATAATTTGGATTGGATGGGAGAAGATCAAACTGTGCTCTCAAAGTTTGACATTTTAAAGCCACATCAATCTGGCCACTTGAGACCTTGCTTTCGCTAGCACTACCGTGGTACAATAACACATTGCTTTCAATGGCTTTCGTTTCCCATCTCACCTCCATGCACATTCCACGTGGCATGACCCCTTCTTCTTCCTCTTCTTCTTCTTCTTCCTCTTCTTCTTCTTCTTCTTCTTTCTACCTTCTTCCTTCTTTCTTCTTCTTCTTCTTCTTCTTCTTCTTCTTCTTCTTCTTCTTCTTCTTCCTTCTTTCTTTGGCTTCATTCTTCTTCTTCTTCTTCTTCTTCTTTCTTTCTTTCTTCATTCTTCTTCTTCCTGGTCTAATTCCACTTCATCTTGAGTTGCAATACATGGCATTGTCCCAGAGTTGTCTTGCATTATGAATTTCGAGCAGGATCATAGCGAGATGCTCAAATCGGGAATTTTTTCAAAAAGAAATTGGGAGAGGTTGAAAAGGAAGGATTTTTATTTTATGTTTTCAAAACAACACAGCCTTTTCTATTTGGAGGGTGGTCAGTCCAGTTGCTTATGACCGGCAAGCATGTGTTTTTTGAACAAGCAACGGGGATGATTAGACGGAGAATAAAGTCAGCCTATCCGTGTGGCTCGAGCCGCCTATACAAGGGGGGGTTGCTCCAGCTCAACCCACTCCCACCCTTTGGTCTTTCCTAGGGGATTATCCTGCAAGTCGGGAAGCTTACTAGCAGCCCCCAGACACGCTGCAGGATAATCCCCCTGGGGGGGGGGGGGGGGGGGGTGTTTCGTAGCAGCCCTTCAGGCCGCATATCACTCATTCAACCTTCCTTCCATGGTTGCCTTGCCTATATATTTCCCCTGCCTACTGTCCCCACATCATCTTTATCTGTCTACCATCCTATCCTTGTTGTTCTACCCTTCCTGCCTTCGGTTTTTCCCCGGTTCTTGACCATCTCCACGTGTTTTGTCTTCTTTTTTTTTTTTTTTTTTATTTGGACCATTTCTCGATTTATGCGTGTCATCCTTGCGCAGGGGCCATGCTAATCTTGTCTGTATCATTCCAATTTTAACGGATGTCCCGAAGGACTGTGTTTTGTCTTTGTATGCTATCCGTTCCCAAAACTGCCCTGGTTCCCCTCTTTCCCCAGTCATCCTGTCTGTGAGTGCTCTTTTCTTTTTTTTGCCTTTTTCCAAGTTGTTTGAACTTTTCTATGTCCATTTCATGATTGCAGATTCTGATGCTTCAGTCAGTTGTTGTTATCTTGCTGCTGTTTTGCAGACGGAGGTTGCAAGAAAAACAGTGTCCCCAGCTTGGAATGAGATTGTCGTATCTGTTCAGCAGATATGTAATGGCGACTTCATTAGACCTCTCAAGCTGGAGTGCTTTGATTGGTTCACTAATGGTAGCCATTCTCTGATTGGCGAGTGTGTGTGCTCGATGCAAGAACTAAAGGTATGTAGTATGTTCTTTTTGACATTCACTCTGCCCCTCCCTCCCCCTCTCCCTCTCTCTGTCTCTGTGTCTCTCTCTCCCCTCCCTCTGTGTCTTTTCAAGTGTCTCTCTGTGCGCTGTCTCTTTACTTTTTTGTTTGCCTTTTCAAGTGCTGCACTTCACTTGCCAATTCTTTTTCATTTATTGTTTATTGCGATTTAGGGATTAGTGATTCGGGGGTTTAGTGAGCTTTGGTGTTCATGCTTGCACACAGATCAACATGCTTATCAGTCAGTCCCCATTTTTTTTTCTTTCTCTTTTTTCGCCCTTAATGCCAAACTCTGTCTTGGCAATGGTACTCACACACAGAATTGAGCCCCTGCACAACATGAATTCATTCTTTGTCTGCTGTGGCATTTGCATGGCTGCCCTCACAGGCAGAGGACAGATTTTTTGAACTCGTACGCCTGGCCTGTCTTCCAGGATTCAGGACCTTGGCAAGGCCAGAAAAGGGCCCTGCTCGCCCTAAGTGAAGGTGGGCGAGCAAAATGAGCCGACCTCACCTGTATCGTCGCACAAGCGTTCAGCAGGGCTTCCTTCAACAAATGAATTGACAAGCGTGTTCTCCGAAGCACTGTAGCAGTATAGAGCGAGGCTGAATTGAGATGTTTGTTGGCTCCGGCAGACTGGTAACGCTTTCCGAAGGCCTGTTGGCTGCACTTTTGTCAGTTGTGGAACTCACCGGACTTTCCCAGGATGCTGCTGCTAAATTTAGACTGGGACTTTGGGAGTTTTCTTGTTGCGTACCGGGCCTGTCGGACTCCAAACGACCCCGAACTTCTGTCGGTCTACCGTACTTTACCAACCTACGGAACCTACAAAACGAGGGTTTGGCCATAGCACCTAGCGAGCCAGTCACTTTTGGGGGAGTGGGACCACTGGGACTCTGGAACTGGGAATCGGGGCAATAACTGAGAAGTGAAATCCTTTCACATGTTATGATCCTGGCTATTCCAAAGTGCAATAACACAAGGAAAGACAATGCCGTTCAATTGCAAATGAAATGAAAGAACTTGGAAAGAGAAATAGACAAAGGAAGAGGAAGAATAAAGAAACAAAGAAGAAGAAGAAGATGTACATCAAAGACCAATTACAAAACCCCTTCCAACTCGCCAACTCACTTCATCATTCTTATCTCCCCCAACCTCTTCATTCAATAAATAATAATAACAACAATGAAAGACTGAACCAGAACCAATCTCCGAATCTCCTCCTTACTCCCAGCAACACATGAGGTCCACCATAGCCACGACCTACACCTTCTACCTCCTCTCCCTCGTAGGTGGCTATGGCGGACAGGCCGCCATGCCTAATTCTGCCCTGAAGTCTTCCTTGAAGCAGCGCACCCCCACTGGGGCCTTCCAAATGCAGCGCCAACCAAGAAGGTGAAGATGCGATCCACCATATTGTGAGGACCTGCCAAACACGGACTGAGACACACAGCTGATTTCTGAGTTTTGCTAATGGAATATATGCCTTGCTGAGCTTCTCGCTTGTTGCTGAGTTTTCTAAGTCTGCATGTGTGTGTGCTTGCTGTTGCTGGCCTGCTTGCCTGTCTGAGTGCTCGTTGGTTTGCGTGTGTATGTGACCCGCAACGGTACTTGTCTGTGTGGAAGGCCCAAAGGGCCAGTACTTACCTGTGGCCTTGACATTGAGGTTTGCAGCGAGGAAAACGCTCAAGTGGCGGGGAAAGAGGCCCTCGACACTTGGAGCATCGGAAAAACACTCAAGTAGCAGGTAGGCTGGTACCCCACCAAGAAGAGGTAGATGTGCCGGGTACTAGAGGCCGAGCAGAAGAAGACAAAGTTGGCATTTTTAGAGGCCCAGTAGTTGTAGGCTAGGTCTAGGTGGGTACCAGTCCAACCAGCCTGAGTCTAGCGCCTGTAAGCAGTGTACGGGCAATATCAGAGTCTGCAATGATGTTTCCCTCCAAATGGGAGGAGGTACCGGTTGCTTGGAGGCCGCACAGCCTAGAAAGTCACTCGCCAAGAGGCAAGCAGGCCGCTATATCTGGAGGAGGAGCTAAGTGTTCCTCCTCATTGTCAATGTGCAAGTTTGGCGACATACTGGGTGGAGCGCTGACTGGAGCAGTGCTACCATAGAGCAGCGCTGCTGGGGAGGAGGACGACAAGGACTAGGAAGGGGGGGCGCCAGAGGTACGTACCTGGCTATGGTGGACGCCATCTTCATCACCTTGGTGGACGCTGCATCTGGAAGGGCCCGCTGGGGTAGAGCTGCACCAAGAAGCTTCGAGGCAGAGTCAGGCATGGCGGCCCGAACAGGAACAGCCATAGCTGCTATGTGTTGTCCTTTGCACAGCAGGGCAATGCCCTGGTAGTCCGCCATAGCCTCGACCTTGGAGGAAGGAGGAAGAAGGGTGGCCATGGCTATGATGGACCTCATGTGATACCTGCAGTAGAAGAGGGATTCGGACATTGATTCTGGTTCAACCATTCAACATTATTATTATTATTTCTTGTTCAATAAGAGGGGAGGAGATAAGGAGGAGGAGAGTGGTTGGCGAAGAAGGAGGGAATTATCATTGGTCTTTGGCAGTGTACATCATCTTCTTCTTCTTTCTTTATTCTTCTTCTTCTTCTTCTTTCCCTCTCTCCTCTTAAGTTCATTTATTTCTTTTTGCAATTGGACGGCATTGTACTTTCTCATGAATGTGTACTTCGAAATTGGCCAGGATCATAGGAATTGAAACGGTAATCACCAGTTCGCAGTAGCGAATGCAGATCCCAGGGCTCAATCCCTAGTTCCCTATCTTACCTGTGTACAGTATTGATGTCAACCCGTAGACTTGAACCCGCGACCTGTAGGATCGCCAGTGGTAGGCAGGGTTTCGTAGGTCACAGGGTAGAAGGGAATCGAACTGTAGACCTATAGATTAGGAGTCTAGACAGTTCCGAAGTGGTAGCTGTAGGCTGCTTGAGGAGTCAAGGTCGTAGCTGCTACTTACCTGAAAGGGCAAAGTCGTAGCTGCTACAGTACCGAAGGGCCAACGTAGAGGTTTCTAGAACTGGCCTTTCGGAGTTGGCCTGTGTTCATCAGAGGCAAGTGGTCAAGTGGTGGTAGTCCACCTAGCCCAGTCAGCAGTCCCAGGTAGCCCAGTCCGGTCCAGTCAAGCAAGTACCGTCTGGGACTGTGCACATCATGGGCCAAGGGGTAGAGGGCAGACCAACGSAGCGCAGAAGTATAAATCAAGAGGCTGCGTCCAGCCATTCATTCATTCAGGCGGAAGCCATGCGGTAGCGCTGCCACAGCGTCTAGTGCAAGGAGGTCTGCTGGAGGCCCGAAGACGAAGGGGGCAAGAGTGAAGCACTGTAGTCATAGCGATAGGTAGTGGCAGCCATAGCTGCCATAGCTCAGTGTAGAGTGCAGAGTGTGTGTACTGTGTGTGTGTTGGGTATGAACACTGAGTGTGCATGTGGGACATCCAGGGTGATCTCGAGTGTGAACAGTGAGTTGTATGGGCGCACAGTCGCCATAGCCAGTTGGAAGAGAACTCATATCTGGTTACGATATCTTTGAGTACTGTGTGGGCGCATGTCGCCAGTTTGCTGTATCGCTGTTTGCAAGCATGATGAAGTGTGAATAAGCCGAGTATGATTGCA